TTAAAATACTGAACCAAATTATTATGTTATCTGAGATGAAAGCACTGGCATATTATGAAAACATTTCAGATCAACAGATTTGAAAAAATGTTGATAGAGGTATACAGGCCTACTAAATATTAAACAACGTGTAAGACATTAATACTAAATCAGGCCTGTACACAGGTTTTTATTGGGTAGAAGCAAATTTGTGGAAGGTGGACGAAAATGACTATGGGCTACCAAGCGACAGAACCTTTTTGGGGTTGAGTGGGCGGAGCTCCATCGAGCCAAGATTTTTTGGATTTTTTGAGGTCTTAATAGATTTTGAAGATATAATATAAACAGTATTAAATGCTTTTGTCAGTGGCAGTCCAGGAAATGGGGGAGGGGGCAGGGACACAACTTCATAGATGGAGGTCGATACACAGTATCATAGTCCCACATTTTCATAAATTTTGTATTCAACAGTCATTTAATTTCTGTGACATAATTATCCAAAAATTTCTGTTTCTGAGATTTAACAATTCCCTAATTTCCATTCTTCTTCATCAACATGCTTTCTCATTCCAAAATATTTGACTTTCCAAAGTTAAAATTCAAAGTACATTTGTGTAGGTTTACCTTAAATAATTAGGTTTCTCCCTGTATTATGTTTCGTGAAACCCTCAAAAACGGTCGCCAATCAATTGTATTGCGTGGGTCTATAAACTTGGCATATTTATTGCCAAAGCAAACTATAATTCACTAAAATTATTAAATATAAATACTTTTTCAAAATGTAAAAATAAAAGCAATAATCCTACATCTATATAACAATAATATGCATATATAAGTTATTATAAAACAATGAATGTTGCTATCAAAATGGAAAAAAAGAGAAAATATGCATATACTTAATTGGCTATCAATTGCTATAAATAATTTTACATTTCAAAATATATTAATTATTATAACTGTTTAAAGTTTGTACCTAAAAATCAATTACCTTTGTTTACCTAACATTTAAAATAAAACATGTTGTACAGACTTCCCTCAGAATACAGACTAATTGTTATGGCTAAATATTTTCAATTAAAACTGTTTCCCTGCTAGCGATTAGCGAAACTTCAATTTTGCTAATCATATTAATAACGCCAATATTACTATGGATTTATTTCCACCAGCCCTGAGATCATGTTCTAATGACCTATAAATGATGTCTGAAAAGAATGTTTACTAAAATCGCAAAATGGCCAATGGTCAATGGTTGAACATTTGTATAAGCTTCCTATTATGATTACAATAGGCACTATAATAGGCTTTTATGATTTGTTACATGAAATAAAGTATTTCACAAGTCTTGCAAACACCATTACATTTTACATAAACCATGTCAAATTATTTTGGTAGACACAACTTTGTTAGCATTTTCAGTTGCCTTGAATCGCTAGAATATAGAGCACGTGTGCAACTGAGAGCAACTGGGTATTTTCAGTTGCTTTCAATCGCAGGAGCACTTATGTAGCCTTCAGTCGCACAAATCTCAGTGCTCTCAGTTGGTCACAGTTGCTTGCCAGTTGCAAAAGTTCAATTGATGTCAGTTGAGTTGAGTCGTAGGGGCAACATAAGCCCGGCTTAAGGCCTATACCCATGTTCTCTCCAACTAAGGGAGAAAATTCTGGTTCATTGTTCGAAAAGGTGTCAATATTTAAAGTTTTTTTTAGATTTTTGTAGTAGTTGTGGTACAATGAAAAAAAATGTATGTGTCCCCTTAATAAGGGTTACAATGAAAAGAATTTAAGTATCCTGTTAATAGGGGTTATTTGACCATTTGGCACATTATAAGGTATATAAGTATACATTAATATTATTATTATGTATCTATCCTAAACAATAATTATCAAAAATATTTTTTAATTCACAGAATTTCAATTCAAGATGGCTACCAGTAAGTTGGATCAATTTCTGGAAAATGTTGATGAGAAGGTCTTGGAGTGTACCATCTGCTTTAAAAAAAAATCCCTCAACTGCCTCCATAGTTTCTGTTTGGCATGCCTGGAAGACTGGGTTAAGGAGAAGGGTAAGCTGACTTGCCCAACTTGCTCAAAATTATATCCAATTCCGGAGGGTGGGCTTCAGAAGCTTCCACCAAATACCTTTCTAAATAATTTATTAGAAACTCTCGAACAATTTTCAGAGAGAGATCAGATGAAATGTAGTGTTTGTGAAAAGGATGAACAGCTAAAATACTACTGCCAGGATTGCAGACAGTACATGTGCTCTACTTGTAGCGACTATCATAAGAAGTTTAAACTCTTTGCAAATCACAAATTACATTTAATGGAGGATGTGCAATCAATGAGTCCCTCTCAGATGACTTTGTTACATTCGCCTCTGTGTTCACATCACAGTAAACCTTTGGAGTTCTACTGCACAGATTGTAAAATTCCAATCTGTGTGAACTGTACAATTATGGACCACAAGGAATGGGAAGGAAAACACAAACCAATCAACATTTTAGACGCATTCCAAACATTTAAAAAAACTTCAGCCACCTTGGAAAATTCTGCCCAACACTTCATAAATAAATTAGAAGGCGGTCTCAAAGCTGTTATCCACAATGCTACAAAATTACAACAAAATAAAGACACATGTTTAATAGATATAGACAATCATGTAGAAGAAATATTCAAAAAAGTAAAAGAGAATAGAGACAAAA